CACTCAGGACTAAATTGAGAATTGCCTCTCCCCTTGTGGTTCCTGTATCAGCTTCTCCAAGAAGGAGTCATTTAAGCCATTGAGAAATTTTATCTCTGCATCTCTTCCTGAAGTGACATGTACCCAGTCAATATGGGGATAATTGAAATCCCCCATTATTATAGAGTTTTTTATTTTGGTAGTCTCTCTAATCTCCCTTAGCATTTCAATGTCACTCTCACTGTTTGGTCCCGTGGTCGATAATATATCCCTACTGCTATATTCTTATTATTGGAGCATGGAATTACTATTCATAGTGATTCTATTGAACATGTTGATTAATTTAAGATTTTTATTTCATTTGATTCTACATTATTTTTCACATATAGTGCTACTCTGCCACCCACATGGTTTGTTCTATCCTTCCAATATATTTCAAATTTATTGTGAATGATTGTGTCTAGGTATGATTGATTATTCCTATTATTCAAGCTTGGCATTTTTATCCATAGATTCTACGGTATAGTTGGATGTTTACTGTATTTGCCTTTATGCTTTCTTTCACATATAGTGCCACTCTCCAACCCGCATGACCTATTCTGTCATTCCTATATAATTTGCACCCTGGGATTATCATGTCACATTGATTATAATCATTCCATCATATTTCTGTTATGCCCATATTAATATCAGGCATTCAAGTTCACTAATTCAAGTTCATGTCTAATATTTAGACATCAAGCATTTGTAAGTAAGCACTTGTAAAATTTGTCAATCTTTAGCTGTCTCCCACTATGTGAGGTAATTGTATGGGAGTCTTTTTCATTTCATTGTTTTTGTTCAGTCCCTACCTGTGCTTTATCCCCTCTGACTTTTGGGGAAATTGAGAATCCTCATTAATAGATGAGGGGATGTCTCTGTCCAAACCATGTGTTCCTCTACACCTATCTGCTTTCTCTGGCTTTCCCCGTCCACAAGATATCAGAGTCTATCTTGACTGATTCTGGCATCATTTCTCTCATGGACAGTAAATTAATTGTGATTTTGAATTAATTCAAATTTTTTACTTTGTTTAGCCATAACGGTACTTGGATTTGGTCCTCTTACTATGGGCTGTTTTTTTTTAATTGGGTATACATTTATTGTGAACCTCTGTTTTCATGTAGCTTGTATTTTCATGTAGGGGAGAGAGAATGGTTCCTAAATGTGGGGCTTCAGAAATGATATATAGAAAACTAGGAGTGTGTCTAGACTACATGACTCCGTCGATGGACCTATGTAGATGAGTGTACAAAGAGAAATGAAGTGGAGATTTAAATAATCGCAGCTTCATTTACATCAAAATGGCCACTGCGCTGTGCTGATCAGCTGATTGTCAGCACAACGCGGTAGTCTAGTCGGGGATCAGCCAATCCCAGAACCCTTTGTCATCAGATCCTTTATGCCTTGTGAAACAAGGCTTACAGGATCTGACGACAAAGGGTTCTGTAGTCAGCTGATCCCCGTCTAGACTACCGTCGATGGAGCCATGTAGTCTAGACACACCCTAGGGCTATGTCTACATTGGCGCGATCTTGCACCAAAGCAACCACTCTTGTGCAAAAACTTGCTGCCTGTTGACACTGGCCGCGAGTTCTTGCGCAAGTACACTGACATTCTAATGTATGAAATCAGGGCTTCTTGTGCAAGAACTCTGACACTCCCACTCAGGAATAAGCCCTTTTGCGCCTGTTCTTGCGCAAGAGGCCAGTGTAGACAGGTAACATGAATTTCTTGAGCAAGAAAGCCCTATGGTTAAAATGGCCATCAGAGCTTTCTTGCATAAGAGAGCATCTACACTGGCAAGGATGCTCTTGCGCAAAAACACATCTCTTGCGCAAAGGCACATGCCAGTGTAGACGCTCTCTTCTGGAAGAGTTTTTGCAGAAGAACTCTTCTGCAAAAGAGTTTATGCGTGAGAATGTGCCAGTGTAGATGTAGCCTAGGTGTGCTCAGTGAGAATGCGGCAAGTCTGGTTCAAAAGTGACAAGGTTAATTTGCTGACAAACTTGGTAGGGGCTAAGGAGCTAATCAATTTATGAAGTGGCCTGTTCAGTGGTTGTGAGTAGCTCTGCGGGTGGAACTCAGTTTTTTCTCAGTGGTGATTCTTGTGATGAGGACATCTAAGAAATAGATTTAATTCTGAAACAGACTGGAGGGTAGATCCTCAGTAGGTGTAAATTGGCATATCTCTACTGCTGATCCACTGGTGATGTGTCCACAAGCACCATTTTGGGAGAGTCCAAACCAAACAATCAGGACAGGAATAGATAAATGCTTGCCTTATATGCTGAAATATTTACTACTGTCATGTCCACTGAAAACCTCACAACACATTTTGTAAGACTAGTGCTTTGCTCCAGAGTCTTTTGCTATATTTCACATATTTAGGTGTTTATTATGCCTTTTTCATTTTCTCTTCAGTATGGCTTTGTTTAGGTAGCAAATGACTGCTGTACATACATAATTTATAAGTGCTTTGAGATCATCTAACATCATATAAATATCACGGCTAATCAAGTTGTAACCCCTCCTGTTGGCTAGCCCAGTGTGAGGTTATTCAGCATAGGGGAAGCCTTGTGACTTCTTACACCACTGAGAGAGGCTGGGCCTGAGGCTGCTTGGGGTGCTCTGTGCTGTGTATTGCGTATGTGTGAGTACACCTCAGACCAGACCCACTCTGACAAATCTCCAGGAACAGACTTTATTCTGTAAAAAACATAGAACAGGAAAACAGTTCAGCAGCCCCTTCTCTCAGCATGAAGCCTGGGTGCTGCTTCTAGCACCGTCCTTGCTGAGACCTTGCTGGGGGCAGAGGTTACAGCACACAACACAGCCCCCTTACAACATGTTCCAACTCCCACAGGAACTAAATCCCACAATAACCAAGTCCAGGTTCTCCCTGGGCATGTCTAGACTACATGGCTCCGTCGACCAAGCCATGTAGATTTGTTTACTCGGCAAAGGGGCATGAGGCATAATGGGGTGGTTGACAAATGCCTTTGATGTCGACCGCAGAGCGTCCAGACTACAGCTCTGTGCCGCCAAACAGCTGATCGGCACAGCGCAGCAGCCATTTTAATTTAAATGAAGCGGCAGGAACATGCCGGAGTTTGTAGTCCACAACTTGCAGTTCCCAGAGCGGCTGCTGAAACACACTGGACCTTGGGCTACAAAGTAAATGGCCATCTAAGCTTTTGAGGTGTTTGTTTCTTCCACATCTTTTTAAGCTCTTACTGAAAACAAAGAAACAGAAAATAAAGGGGTAGCAACAACAGGTTTCATATTTGACCAGCTACAATTATAGCAAGAATTGGAAGCCATCCATCATCCTGCTGACAGTTATACACACAAGTAAATGTGTCTGTCTTACTATTCGTGGGCATAAGATTATTCACAATTATTTGCAGGATTAGTGATATGTCTCTGGAGTTTTGGGTTAGATTTGTTTTGTGAAGTCTGTTCAAGAAACCCAGCACCGAAGATAAAATGAAACATTTTGAGTTATTTTTCAGGGACTGCATTATGCTCTGCTGCCTGAACAGTGGCACAAGCTTTGTTGCTGGGTTTGCCATCTTTTCAGTTCTTGGTTTCATGGCTTATGAACAAGGAGTGCCCATAGCAGAAGTTGCAGAATCAGGTAAGTTTCCTAAGAAGATTTGATGTGGCTATAAATATGCATGATTGTTGGTGTTCATAAAGTTTGGACATTCACTCTCCATTCCTTAGTCAGGTTGACATTTAACCAAGCTGCCTTGTATATAGTTTAGAAAGATTCTGTTATTTAACAGGTATGCTGCTAATTAAAATGACTGCTGTAAAATGTGCACTAGTATCAATGTAATACTTTCATGGTCACATAACATTTAAATTATCATAGAAAACAGCAAAATCCAGGAAGCTAAGTGGTCAGATCCTCTTGCCACAGAGCTGCTATAATTGGACAGCTGAGAATTCCTTCGTCATAGGGAATCTCCAGTGCATTATCTCTACAGTCCCCTCTAGTGTCTCATCCTATCTACTTTTGTTCCACTCCAGTTGACAAAATATAGATAAGATCATTCTCCACAAACTTTCCTTGTATTTAATCATTCGGATTTCTTGTAAATTAGATAGACCAAAATACATTGAACTGGTTTGTGGGGTTTTTTTTTATAAAAGAATCAGTTTTATCATTGTCAGGGCTGTTCTGCACTCTGTCACTCCGAGTGAAGAAGATGGGGGCCCACAAGAAACCTTAGGTACATTGCCTCTCTAGGCTCTGCTTACAAAAACTCCTCAGAGTCACAGATTCACTGACTTCGGAAGGTGGCTGCCACCATCAAGTCATTGAAACCCTGAAAAATGGGAAGAAACACTTGAATTTCTTCCCTGGGGTTACCCCCACGCTCTTTTGCCACAAAAGAGCTTAGAAAAAGAAACAAACAAAAAACACTACAGAAAACAAACTGTTCTTCTTTGAGTGCTTGCTCATGTCCTCTCCAGTTAGGGTTGTGTGCACCACTTGCACGGATTCCAGAGCTTCAGTATCTGTCAGACCAGCCAGAGAGCCCCTGGAGTGGCCCCAGCATATTAGCGCATATATACCCCAGCTGGCCCTCCTCCCCCTCAGTTCCTTCTTACCGCCTGTGACGGTAGCTGAAGCACTCGACTATATAGTTAGTCTATCCCTTAGCTTTACGCAGTTCTCAGTTTTAGTAGTTTAGATTAGTTAGTAGTGTAAATTGTTGTTATAGTTGATTGTTCTTATCGGGGGAAGTTCTCCCACTTAACTCACCCCTCCTGGGGAGGGGCTGCATGGGCTGCATGGCTTTAAAGCTTATGCCCTGCAGTGATCTGCATGACTCCTGTCTGAAGTGCCCGGGAGAGGGTCATTGCACTAACAGTTGTCAAATTTGTAAGAGTTTCAAGCCATTAGAGAACCATCCGCAGCACTGAAGCATGCGGCACTGGTGAAGTCTTCGTCATCAAAGTACCAGTCACAATTCCCATCACTGTCACAAAAGAGTCAGCTATCCCGCCAGTGTGGCCAAAATCTCAGGCACACACACCAGCCCTGGGGCCTGTGCCAGTAGTGATACCACACCAGCCACCCATACTGGTAATCGCATTGGGGCCACCTATACCACCGGCACCTGCCCCATCAGATTCCGGGGCCTTGTCTGAATCAGCACCACCTCACACGGCACCACACATCCTGATACCGACTATGATGGGACTGGCCGACTCCTTGGTACTGCCAGTGCAGAGCCAATACTTGCACCCAATGCTGCCACCAGCACCACCATTTATGTTACCAGCACTGACCGATAGGGAGAAGCCAACAGAGATGGCCAGGCATACATCATATCATCGCTCTCCGGTACCATTGTCAGCACCGTTCTGGTTGGCCTTGGACTATTCCTCGGAGTTGGATGCTGACTCACTACGCTCCAGGATCTCATCCTATAGTTGCAGCACCATTCCCGATCTAGGCAGAAGTCTTGACACATGATTCCAGCCTCTCACCAGCCTTAGCCATCACACTGGCAGCCTCAACACCACTGGCGCTTCTGGACTCCCTGTGCCTACCATCAGGCCCAGGGGCCTGAGCCATCCAGGCACGCCTCGGTGATGGCTCAGTCCAGGAGCACTCCCTCTGCGATCCCTTTGACCAGGGCACCTGCATCAGAGACAGGGCACTCGTCATATAGGGAGACCATAAGACCAGGACAGGGTGTAGAGTGCCAACCTGCTATACCACCAGTCCCACCACCTCAAGCGATCAAACAACAGCTGGCACACCCTCTGCTGAGAGAGTCCTCCTCTTCTTCGCCAAATGAGGCACTGGCCAACCCAGCACCTTCCATGCCTGCTATGGATGCCAGGGCACACCAAGACCTGCTCCACCAGCTGGCGGCAAAGTTGGGGGTGCAAGCGATCATCTGGCACAGTTGAGCTGACATGTCAAGGGAACTGTAGGTAGGCAGATTAATTCTGATCACGTAGGGTACGTCTAGACTACATGCCTCTGGCGACAGATTAGACTACCCGGCATAGGAAAATGAAGCGGCAATTTAAATAATCGCCGCTTCATTTAAATTTACGTGGCTGCCGCGCTGAGCCGATCAGCTGTTTGTCGGCTCAGCGCGGTAGTCTGGACGTTCCGCAGTCAACATCAAAGGCATTTGTCGACCTCCCAGGTATGCCTCAGGTATTACGCACAGCTGTTCTTGCGTAAGAAGCCTGCAGTGTAGACGTAGCCTTAAAAGATAAATAACTGCATTTCTTTGCTTCCTTTGCAGGACCGGGACTTGCCTTCATTGCCTACCCAAAAGCTGTCACCATGATGCCTCTTTCTCCACTATGGGCAGCTTTATTTTTCATGATGCTCATATTCCTTGGATTAGATAGTCAGGTAGGAATCAAATACGCTTAAAAGAAATTCTGGGTCAAATTCTCAGCAAATATAAGGTCACAAATCTTCTTTTATGTCACTTGGAGCTGTGTCACTTTGTGCCTGATAAGGATCTAGCCCTGTTTAAAGCCTCTATTTCAAGTTTAATAAAAAATAACAAGTCTGTACAATATTGCAGATTTCTTTGTATAAATTGTAAGTCATGATTCATCTGAATTTTGCTTTTAATGTTAACATCAGTAATTCAGTTAGAATTTAGAATTGTTCAAGTCCCCTCATTGTAAAGCAAAGACAGCACAATGACATGTGTTTCTTTTCCCTGTTTTTTAAGCCAACATGCAAGCAATTTTGACAACTGAGAAGAAGGTACTGACAGTGAAAGTGCTCAGAGTATACTTGGGCAGTGGTTGAGGGGCCGACTGGGGAAGGTAGCCGAAGCTCTGCTCCTTCTGCCCCAGGCCACATCCCTTCCCCGAGACCATGCCCTTCACAACCTAACCGTTCCTTCCCCCCCCCCTGTAGCCAAGCCCCATCTAACCCCAATTGAGGGCTGCTGCACAGCGTGGCTCCAGCTTCCCTGACAACTGGGAAACTAGGCTCCTCGCAGTGCGGCCCCAACCTTATCAGGCTGCTGGGAGCTAGGCTGCCATGCAGCATGGCCCCAGGCTCTCCCAGGCAGTTGGGCAGTGTAGGAATTTTGGGAAGGCAATGCCTTCTCTTGCCTATATTACCAGCCTCTCACGAGGGTATACCTTCATATTTCAAGATATGGTGGCAAGAACGGTGTAATTAGACACTGCAGTAAAATTAACAGCACAAGCCATTGTTGAAGTCTGTGTAATTGCAGAAAAATTCCACAAGAGTTGTTTAACAAGAGATATTATATGATAATGAGCAGGGCTTGACAAATTATGAAAACCCTACTCACCAGACAAAAAAGGGACTCACCACCCTCCTCCTCCCAGTGTTTTTTAATGGCATAAATTCCTAATAAGAACAGTAATTACTAATACGTTCTTAACAAATATCACCCAAGTTATTAATAAATATCTTATAAACTTCAACCTTTTCCCTCTGCTGCCATGTCTCCTCCCCTTGCTCCATCAGCTCCCCGGTGCCTGCTGCCCCCCAACTCCTCACCCTCCTCTGCTGTCCTGATTCCTGCTCTTCTCACTGCCCTCAGCCCTCCTGAGACCTGCCCCCCTCCACCAGCCCTTCTCTCCCCCCTGTGCCCACTCCTCCTCCAGTAGCCCCACTCTGATCAAGTGATCTACCCCTCCTCATCCACTCTCCTAACACCTCCCTCTACACTGCTGCCCTGCCTCTCTCCTCTGGTGCTGGTCCCTCCCCTTCAGGTGTCTGCCCTTCTGCTTCACCCCCAGAATCTCCTGGCACCTGCACCCTCCTGGTTCCTCCCCCTTCCCTCACTGCCCCTGCCCCCTTTGCCCTCTTTTTCCCTGATACCCACCCCCTCAGCCCCCCCTACCCCCGTTCCCCTCATGTCCCTGTACCTTCACACATGCCTTGCTCCATCCCCACCTTCCTCATGCCCACCCCTTCTTTCAAGCCTTCTCCCAGCACCTCTCCCTCCCCCTCTAGCCCCCAATGCCCTTACCCTCTCCTCTCCCAGCATCACCCTGTTCCCCCCTCCCACTGACACCTCCCCTCCTGCCCTTTTCCTCAGTCTGCACTTAGCCCCCTGGGATTTGTCTCTCCTGCACCCCTGTCCCTTGGTGCCTTTCCCTTTCTTCTTCTTCTTCTCCTGACCTCCTCCCCTCCCCTCTCCTCCGCTCCTCTCCTCACTGCCGTCTCGCTCTCTCCTTTCTCCTCACTGCCCCCAGCCCAGCTGCTTCCCCTCCTCCAGGGCCAAGCAAAACATCCCCCCCCCCTTTTTTTTGTTGTCTTTTACAGGTTGGCATTTTACAATGGTTTTTTTGTTTGTTTGTTTGTTTTCATTTTTGTCCCGGCATTTTAGCCCTATAAATAGCAAACTGCACTTTCATTCATTTTTTTCCATAAAGGCAAAGGTGCTTCAAGTGAACTCCCCCTTTCACTCACTGCTGGGTCACAGCAGCCTTTTCCCTGCCCTGTCCAACCCCTCCCTATGGACAAGCACCCCTCACTCCCAACCCACAGGGGAAACAGGGTGCAGGGACAGCACAGAGCCAGAGGGGTGCAGGGAACAGTGTGGGGGGAGGTAGGGGTGGCACAGGAAACAGGAGGCACAGAGGCAGCGTCCCGCAGGGATAGGGGGGAGCAGTGTGCGGGGTGGGGTGGAGGCACGGGGAATGGGACACGGAGAATGGGAGGGGCAGAGGGAATCCGAGTCTAGGGGCAGTGCAGGGAATGGGCAGCACAGAGCTGAGGGGGGAAGCAGGGATCGGGGGGAGCAGGGTGCGGGGTACAAGGGTGGCGCAGAGCCAGAGGGAGAGCAGGGGATCCGGGGTGCAGGGGCGGCATGGTGAATGGGCGGCGGGAGCCAGACGGGGTGCGGGGCGGGCTCAGCAAGCCGAGTGGTCGGCTGAGAGCAGTCTCTCGCCAGCGAGGGGCTGGGGCCATGGCAGGACTGGAGCCAGTGGAGCAGGGCCTGGCTCTGCCGCGTGCCACAGCCAGCTACCGGGGACACGCAGCCAGAGTCGAGGTGCCGTGGCCCTTTAAAAGTGGCGGGGCCACGTCACACCAGCATCCTGGCGTCTGCCAGAGCTCCGCCCCCTCGAGCTGCAGCTGCACGCAGGCAGCCCAGCACTGAGAATCGCCGCAGTTCCCCCTCCCCGGCAGCGCTCTGCCCCGCCGCCGGCTGGCGGATTGGATGGAGCCACGCCACCCATAGTGCGGGCTTCGGCCAGCCCTTTACAACGGCCCACCGGGCCAGTCCACCCCTCCCTCCCCAGCTGGCAAAATCTACTCGCCACGGGCGAGCGGGCGAGTGTATTTGTCGAGCCCTGATAATGAGTATATTATAGTAACTCTGTATGTGTGATTCATTTCAGGAAATAAGTATGTGTATGATCATACACTTTACAGTAAAGCTGTGGTATTTTGTTTTGTACTGCACTTCAGATTATTAAATTTAATGTTTTATAAGATTTATACTTTTCCGAGAGGCAACTTGAGGTAGCAGAATGCAAAAGGGACTGGAAATTAGGAACTCCTATATTCTACTATGATCTCTTTCAGTGACACATTTCTGCCCTGTGCTTCAGTTTATTTAATCTATAAAATGGAAAGAAACATACTTACCTATTTCAGCAGATTATTGAAGTTAGATAACACTTTGATTACAGTTCTGATTATTATTCATTTAAGTGGCAATGCCTTCGTGTACTAAGTGTGCAATTCCTCGTGTACACCCATCTCAAATTCAGAGCATCATGTGAAGTCCCACTTAAGACCTATTTTAAAGACTTAAACATTGTGCTGTCTGTCTGCTGCACAATGAATTTCACTTGGAGATGACTAAAGTGCTTGTTACTTTTCGGAATTTGACGTTGGACTAGAAATATATAGGTTTGGAATTTTTTACTCTGAAATTTTCATCTTTTCAAACTGGATTTTTCAGTCTCTCTCTTTGATGAGATTATAGGCGGGAACTCGAAGAGTTTTTTAGTAAATCCAATTCCCTAGAGTAGAAGAGACATGTATCTTATTTGAACTTTTCATTTTTGTTCCAGTTTGTGTGTGTTGAAAGCCTAGTGACAGCAGTGGTGGATATGTACCCAAAGATTTTCCGAAGGGGATACAGAAGGGAACTGCTGATTCTTGCTCTTTCAATTGTGTCATACTTCATTGGCCTAATAATGTTAACAGAGGTAAGATGCTATTTGTTTCATTTCAAAGATACAGCCAGGGAAACAAATTAGCTAATTCTAATTGTGATAGACTCCAGGAATGAGCACTTGACATGAACAAAAATTGCTTTACAATAATGTTGATCAAACAAGTACAAACCATTTAAGAGTCTGTTCTTGACTTTTGTTCAGTTCTTTAAGGCTACGTCTACATTGCAGCAGATTTTCGGAAGAGGAAATGCAAACAGAGTGCTCATTTGCAAATCTCGTGCTCTCATTTGCATATTCTCTTCTGATCCTTTTTGTGGAAGAGGTTTTTGTGATTAAAAGCCCTAAGTAGAGGTTTACAGGATCTTGCGCGAAAGGGATTTTTTCCGACAAATGGCCACATCTACACAGGGCTTTTTATTGCAAAAACCTCTTCCGCAAAAAGGATTGGAAGAAGATATGCAAATGAGAGTGTGAAATATGCAAATGAGCACTCCATTTGCATCCCCTTCTGCAAAAAACACACAGTGTAGATGTAGCCTAACTGCACTCTGAACTCAATTAATAGCTTAATCAATGATGCATTGAAATCCATCTTATTCAACACCTCCCATCCATCCAGAGAAACTGATTTCTCCCTGATCACTCTGGGCTGACCCAACTTGACATGAGGGTATTTGATACCGGTGGCCAGGAAAAGGAAGCCATCTTCCTGGGATCAAAATGAGTGATGAATATAACAATGAAAAACTTGAGGAAAAGCCAAAAAGGAAATTGGTGGTAGCTTTAATATTCCCATCTGTTGATTTATTGGGCTATATGCATCAAGGGAATGAAACTCAATCCAGCAAAATGTTTAAGCATCAGCTTTATTTCGAGTATATGCATACATACTTGTCACAAGTGTTACTATAGCAAATATAGATGGGTACAGATCTACTCTCTGGTCTAGATAACAGCAGTAAATAAACATTCAGAAAAGTGGTGGGGTTTTTTACACCTTTGATTCACAGTCTCTTAGGGTACGTCTACACTACAGCGCTAGTTCGAACTAACTTAGTTCGAATTAGTTAATTCGAACTAAGCTAGTTCGAACTAACGCATCTAGAACTAAAAACTAGTTCGAACTAGCGTTTTGCTAGTTCGAACTAGTAAGTCCACATTGAGTGGACTCTGAACAGGGCTTAAGGATGGCCGGAAGCAGTGCCGGCAGGGCATAAAAGGAGGACTTAGAGCATGGAGATACTGTCTCAGGCTAGCCGAGGGCTGCGCTTAAAGGGTCCCGACCCCCACCCCGGACACACAGTTCTAAGGGGTGCCCCGCTTGCAAAGAAGTTCTGGCTTGGAGTGCCCTGAGTGCCCACACTGGGCACATCACACCACTCGGCCATCAGCCCGGCTGCACTTGCCGCAGGCTGCCATCTGGGGAGAGGGAGTAATTGGGGGGCTGCAGGAGAGCTTCCACCCCCAGAAGCCCGCAGAGCCAGCCCAGTCCTCCCCATCGGGGGCTCGTACCCCATTCCTCCCTCACCTCCTTCCACTTACCCTTCCTTAGCCCCCCTTCTTATTGATGTACAAAATAAAGATAACGTTTCTTCCAACATTGACTCTGTCTTTATTGAAAAAAACTGGGGGAGACTGGGAAAAGGAGGTGGGAGAGGGGAAGAGAAAGGCTGGGAGAGGGGAGGGCAACTAACATGATCAGGGGTTGGGAACAGGTCCCAGATGAAGAGAGGCTACAGAGACTGGGACTGTTCAGCTTAGAAAAGAGGAGACGGAGGGGGGACAGGATAGAGGTCTCTAAAAGCAGGGGTTGGGTGGAGAGGGTGCATTCAGAAAAGTTCTTCATGAGTTCCCATAAAGAAGGACTAGAGGACACCAAAGGAAAGGAATGGGTAGCAGGCTTGAAACTAGTAAGAGAAAGTTGTTCTTGACAAAGCAAATAGTTAACCTGTGGAACTCCTTGCTGCAGGAGGCTGTGAAGGCTACAACTAGAACAGAGTTTAAAGGGAAGTGAGATCAAGTCATGGAGGTTGGGTCCATGGAGTCCTATTAGCCAGAGGGTAGGAGTGGTGTCCCTGCCCAAAGTTTGTGGAAGGCTGGAGAGGGATGGCACGAGACAAATGGCTTGATCACTGTCTTCGGTCCATCCCCTCCAGGGTCCCTAGGGTTGGCCGCTGTTGGCAGACAGGCTACTGGGCTAGATGGACCTTTGGTCTGACCCAGTACGGCCATTGTAAGCTCAGGGCTCAGGGTCGGGGGTCTCAGTGGACCCCCTTGATTTTCATGCACACCTGGTCCTGGGTGGCCAGGCTGGCAGCTCTCCTGCCCTAGACGGCCACTTTCCTGTGCCTAGTGCAGAGATCGTGGACGAGGTCCAAGATGTCTGCACTAGCCCAGGAAGGTGCCCGCCTCTTGCGGTCCCGGGCAAGCTCCCGGGAGCCGCCAGCCTGGTCCCGGCAAGAGGGGGTGGGCTGGGAGGCATCGGGTGGGTGGCTCTGTGCCGTGCCAGGTGCAGGGTCTGCTAGCTGGGTGCTGGCAGGCTTGCACCTGGCACGGGCACCGTAGCCAGCCCGTGCCCCTTTAAGGGGTCCGGGGCCGGGAGGGGGGCATAGAGTTTCCCTGGTGTTGGCCAGAGTGGCCACCAGGGAAACCTGGGGAGGGCTAGCCTCCCACTAGTTCGAACTAAAGGGCTACACAGCCCTTAGTTCGAACTAGCTAGTTCGAACTAGGCGTTAGTCCTCGTAAAATGAGGTTTACCTAGTTCGAACTAAGCGCTCCCCTAGTTCGATTCAAATTCGAACTAGCGGAGCGCTAGTGTAGCACCTATTAAAGTTAGTTCGAACTAACGTCCATTAGTTCGAACTAACTTT